TTATGGTATTTTGAGGACTAGACTGTGAAAGGCAGAAGGGATTCCGCAAAATACAAGCTGAAGACTTCATCAGATGGATCATTTAGCTAAATGGCAATTGACCTTGCTTCTATTCTAATGTATGCATTAGAAATTATCATGTATGTTATAAATTCCCTTTTAAGACCAGCTTTACCTGTATCCCACAAGTCATGTGTTTTCATTATCATTCAATTCAAAACATGTTCTAATTTGTATAATGAGTTAGTTTTTAACTCTGAGTTATTTAGTAATACATTTATTACTTTCAAACAGATGGGGATTTTTAAATTATCATGTTGTTATTCTAGCCTAATTTCACTAGAGTCTGAGAATATGCTTTACCTGGTTTCTATCATTTTAAATTTGACAATAATTGCTTAATGGCCAAGAATATTTTTAATGTTCAAAGTATACTTGAAAAGAATGTATTATGACATTATTTGCTATTGAGTTCAATATTTGTACATTAAATCATTTTTATTAATTATGTTGTTGAAATCTTGTATACTTATCAATTTGGGTCTGTTTCTTTTTTTTTTTTTTCTAACAGTTACTCAAAAAAAAAAAAAAAAAAAAGAATTCAAATATTCCACTATGGGTCCTTAATTTTTGAAAATCCCCAAATCTCCCCCAGAAGAATCCACATAGAAATTTGGGTAAGAAAACCAAATCTATGGACAGCATTATATGAAGTAAAACATGAGCCAGAATATAAAGTATCCTACAAACCTCTAAGTATGAATGGTAAGAACAATCCACCAACACCTACAAGGCCTGTGCAGCATCAGTGCCTGTACAAGAGATAGCACAGGGGAGCAACAAAGCATTTGATACACTAAGATTTTAACATGTATTCACCAGAAATCTTAGTAAAATTTAGAAAACAGTTGAAACTCTCAGGGATTTGTGCACCCTATTAGTTGGTGAATACAAGCCATTTGCAATTACATCTGAAGGGGTTGGGATAGTGTAGACCCTACCATCCCTCGACATAAACCAATTAAAGCCTCTTCCGGCACAGAGCTCCACAATGACTAAACTGCTGGGAATAGAATCCAAAGTAACCAGGACAGGGGAAAAGACAATACAGATTAAATGGCCAGAACAAAACGTAGTATTTCACAATAATAACAAAAGAGGGAGCTCAAGAGTCATAAAGTGAGAAAATCTGTAAAACCATGCCTTCCCCATACCTTCTAGAAGTTAAGAGAATTAGTTTCATGTAAAAATGATCATCAGAAAATGATTGTAGTTATACATCACTCAGAATTATAAGAGCAATTTGTAAGAGCAAACATAATAAGAAGCAGAATAAACTCTATACAGGCAATGAGAGCATAAACAGAAAAACTTGCCCACAAAGCAAAGGAAAACTATATCCTAATGTTTTATAATTGTCTGAAGTTATTAACACAATGACCTACAATGTGAAAGAGAAACATAATCCAGAATTATCAAAACTCAAAAATTAATTAATAACACCCAAGAAATAATTCAGAAAACAAAACAAAACACTGTTTCAAAAATGAAGATTAGACCAGAATCAACACAAAGGAAAATAAATACAGAAAATGTCAGAGGGAAAAACAGCCTTAAATTAGGAAAAAGTTTAAAGTAAAAAGGAATTTAATGGCTCCCATATGATTCCATTTATATGATAATCCAGGAAAGGTAAACTCACAGAGACAGAAAACAGAACAGCAGTTGGCAGGGGCTATGGGAAACAGGAGGAAACACAGAACAGAGCTGTTCCGTGTCTTCGCTGTAGAAAAATTTACATGATACTATGCCTTTGTCAAAACATATAGGCCTATACCTCAAATGTAAAAAAAAGTGAGTGCAAAGTAGAGATTAAGAACAAGATTAAAATGATTTTAAAATCTACAAATAATGAACAGAGGGAAAGAGTATCTAACATAGATATGATAAAATTTCCCAGAGAAGAAAAACCAAAACAAGGAAATGGAACAATTACTAAAAATTATTATTCAAGATGTCACTGAAAGTTTGTAAAGAATTACTTGAACTTAGATATTAATGAGGTAAATGGCATACCTGGGGAAAAAATCAAACCAGAAATATCAACACTGATTCATAGTTTAGTAAAAATTAGTCTTTAAAGACAAAAAAGAATTTTTTACACATTAATGAAAACAGGACCAAATAACTTCTAGAGGAAAGGTCTTCAGATAATGTATAACTATTTTCATACCAAAAGGAAATACTTATTTATGTATATGTGTATGTACATATGTACATGAAATGCTCTGAATATATCTGTCAAGTCCATCTGGTCCAGGGTATCATTCAAAGCCCTTGTTTCCTTGTTGATCATTTGCTTAGATGATTGTCCATTGCTGTAAGTTTGTTATTAATTCATGTACACGCTTGGCTGCTCTCCAGTTAGGGGCATAAATATTTACAATTGTTATATCTTCTTGCTGGATAGATCCCTTAATTATATATTGTAGCCTTCTTCATCTCATATTATAGTCTTTGGTTTAAAATCTCATTTGATATTAGTATGGCTACTGCAGCTGTCTTTTGATGTCCATTAGCCTGATAAATGGTGTTCCACCCTGACCTTCAATCTGGAGGTGTCTTTGGGTCTAAAATGAGTCTCTTGTAAGTAGCATAACTGTGGGTCATGATTTTTTATCCATTCTGATGCCCTATGTCTTTTAAATGGAGGATTTAGTCCATTTACATTCAGAGTAATTATTGATAGATATGAATTTAGTGCCCTTGTACCACCTGTAAAGTCACTGTTCCTGTAGATGGTCTCTGTTTCTTTCTTGTTTCTTTTGGTATCTTTCCCACTCAACGATCCCCTTTAATAATTCTTGCAGAGCTGGTTTAGTGTTGATAAAGTCCTTTAGTTTTTGCTTGTCTTGGAAACTCTATTTCTCCTTCTATTCTGAATAACAGGCTTGCTGGGTAGAATTCTTGGCTGCATATTTTTCCCATTGAGCACATTATATGTATCATGCTACTCCCTTATAGCCTGCCAGGTTTCTGTGGACAGGTCTGCTGCTAACCTTATGTGCCTACTCTTGTGGCTTAAGGACATTTTGTCCCCAGCTGCTTTCAGAATTCTTTTCTGAAATTCTTTTCTGTCAGACCTGTGCTAGTACAGATGCACCTGTAGGGAACAGCAGGGTGAGGTTTGTTGTAAGTAGTTCCAGCCTCCACTGGCGGCACTGTTTTGGTTGGCGAAGTCTCACCAGGTACTGGGTGGGGGAAGATGGCATCACTCTCCTTTCCTGGCTAGGGGAGCTGCTGCCCACCTCTGTTCAGTTAGACTTCACAGACAAGCAAACCATCTCCCTTCCTATGTCCTACACTTCAATCAGATCCCTGCCTTCAACCCATTTGTGCCTAGGTTGTCAACATGCCCAGTGTCACAGCTCTCCTGTGTTTTATCTCTGGTGCATGGCTCGTATTCAAAATTACTAATCTTAAAGGACAAGGTGAGCCAGAGGCCTGTACACCCCTCCAGAGGAGATCCTCACATTGCTGTGCCTGGTCCTGTTATGTCCATGAAAATAGGCTGCACAGATGTACAGGTGCCTGGAGTTTATGGTGAAGCATAGCCAAAAGCTGGAACCAGGTTATCTGCCCTATGCACACACTTCTGTCCCCTGCTGTTGAATCGTTGCTCAAAGGCACCAGCCAGGTCTTTTGTCCGTGGAGAGGAAATATACCATCTTCCAAATGCACAGCAGGGAAGAGAAACTTTCTCTCCCACTGTGACCCAGGGACTCCCCACAACCCACTATCCGCTGTCCACTGCTGACCTTCCACCCTCCTTTCCCCAGGAGCACTGCTGCCCTCCCAGATTGACTCCCACGAATGGTAGAGAATTCCAAAACCTCGGAATTTCAGCTCCACTGTTTGCAAATATTGCAATAATCATTTCCTCCCAATTCCCCAATGATTCTCAGAAAATCCTTTTCTTGTGCAAACCCAGTGCCATGCTCTCTCACCCTGTTTCCCTCTCCTTTCTGTAAAAAGGTCTTCCTACTCCTGTGGCACTGCAGCTTTTCTCTCCCCTAATGCACGTCTCCACACCTCTTAACCTGCCACATTCTCTCCTTCAAATTATGCAGATTGTTCTCTTAATCCTCAGATCAATTTCCTAGGTATTCAGAATGATTTGATGTGATCTAGCTATGTTTGAGGAAGGACGCAAGCCCAGGGTACCCCTACTACTCCACCATCTTAACTCTTCCCCTCGTTGAGTGCATATTTAGATGTGATTGAACTTTAACAAATTATAATGTTGATCTGTTGCCTTTTTAAAACATTTGACTGAAAATGTGAAAAAAAAAAAAAAAAAGGCCTTCCAGAAAAAAATCTAAATCCTACTCCGTGGGAATGTCACCTTACATGGGAAAAAAAAGGCAGGTATTTGCAAATGCAATTAAGGATTTTGAGATGGGGAGAGGATGTTGGATCACTTCGGTGGAAACACATGTACCTTTCTAAAAGGGAGGCACAGATGAAGGCCAGTGAAGATGGAGCCGAGAAAAATTTGAAGATGCTAACCTTGAAGATAATGTGATCTGGCTACCCCAAGGAATAATGACAGCCATCGGATGAAGGAGACAAAGAGCTCCATCTAGAGCCTCCAGAGGGAGTGTGGCTCTTGCCAGCACCCTGATTTGGTGACCCTCTGAGAGGAAACATTTCTGTTGTTTTAAGCCACCAAATTTGTAGTAAAACATTACAGCAGTCACAGGAAACTAATCCAATTACCTTGTAACTTTTTCCCTTTATTTTTCCTTTGCCCACTCACTATTATAATTTCTCTGCCCTCTTCTCTAACGTGTCAGTAACATTCTTATTCTCAACTTGAATAGGTGTTGGTTTGTATTAGGACAAACATAATTATCATAAACTATAAATAAAAGGATTATATACATTTTACACATGCAGCTCTAGGAATAAGAAAAATTAACTAGCTCAAGGACATACAGTCACTTTTATAACTGATTTTAATCTCCATTCAGATAACACAAATGACATTGTTCTTTGTACCACACCTGTGATAATTTGTATATCACAAATTACAACCCATTAACTGGTGGCCCTATATATTTTATATATATTACATTTATAAATTCTTATCCAGCCAACTAATATACATGTCTTTTATCCTCAGACCTAGACGTAAGTACACTGGTGACACCATGAACGATAAAGCTCCATGGAACCCATTCTCAATATGGTCATGAGTAACTTGAACTCCAACATTCTGAAGTCTTGTGACATACATAAGTCCATCATCCCTTACACAATCATACTGACAGGTAAGAATATAAGTTGATGGCAAATTCTGTAACTGAGAATCATTGGCTAACAAGGGAGATGCTCTGATATCCATAAGTGCTGGCAATGAATAATTATGTCTTCCAAGAACTGGTTCGGTATAAACATGGTTTTTTCTATACTTCTTGGGTAAAAGAGTACTCCAGTTAACAAACTTAAACAGGTGTCTTGATTCCAGAGGCATATGTTGGTTTCTTCTCATTGCTTGGGTAACTGTTTCATCAGTGGTTAAATATGAGCTAATGAGTTTTATGCCCAAGTCCTTTGCTAGAATTATACCATGCTCATTTTCTTGGTGAGATGGCAAACAAGAATATATTATCTGTAAGACAGGGTAAATTAAAGCTTGAAGCTTGATTTTATGCTTTATTTCAAGATCAATCTGCACCTGAAAAAAACATAATGATGTCCTATAAGCAAGAATTCCAAAACTTCAGGAGGGAGAGATTTAATTTTTAAAACATAAGCAATCATGAGATAAACAAATCTACATAAATTGATGTGATAATATATTATTTTCACAATATTTATAATGACCTTCAGTGGCATAAAAACTTGTCAAGCTCATTTCAACAGTAAAGTTTTAAAAATGTTGGTTGTGTGTGAAAAAAGGAGAGAGATAGAGACGCCCAGGTATAAAACAAGTAAGTCCCAGGGATGTCATGTATAGTGTGGTTACTAGGTTAATAATCTTGTGTTGTATATTTGAATGCTATTAAAATAGTAAATCTCAAATGTTCATATCACAAGAAAAACAATTTGTAGTTATGGGTGGTGATAGATGTTAACTTGACATATTACTATGTTGATCAATCTGCAGTACGTACATCTATCGATTATACTGTATACCTGAAACTAACATGATGTTGTATGTCAATTGTATATTGATTAAAAGCAAATTTAAAACAGACAATGTCAGGAAGTGAGGCACCACTGGGCTGTACCCAAGAGCAATTTGAGAGACTGGGAGCAGCAGCCACAGGAATCTCAATCCCAGGTGGTGACAGAAGTAGCAGCAACCTGGCTTTGAAACCACTAATAGCACATACCTTGCTAGATTTGCTTTAGCAATTTGATGCCTTATTGTCAACTGGGCTGGTGCATCAAATGAGTTCATTACATTGGGTAAATGGGAAGAGAGAGAGAGAGAGAGAGAGAGAGAGAGAGAGAGAGAGAGAGGGACATGCATACATACATACATAGAATGAGGTTTTTGTCAAAAATCACCAATGCAAATAATCTAAATAGGATAACCCTGGAGGAAACTGACACTATAAATAAATCTGCAAGAATTATTGACTGGATGAAACCAAAGTGAATGGAAAAAATAAATATAGCTATTGAAATAATATTTTATCATAAATTTGAAAATTAAAATTAAAAATTAGCATTACAATTAAAATATTTTAAAACAGTATAAAGTTTAAAATAATATTATTTGGCTGTTAAGCAAGTTCCCAGCAACACACTGTAAGTTTTAAGAAACATTATTTAAATGCAGAAGTACAGAGACAGAAAAGCAAAAAAAAGCCAATGGATAGGTAGCTTACCTTCTCAAAGAATGGTGATATTTGGAAAACAAAGGGATGAAATTATTTTTAAAAACCTTGTTGATATTCCATTTGACATACAAGGAGAGAAAGTGGAATATGTAACATAGAGCCCTTTTTTCTTTCCAGAGGTGAAGGGGGGTGTCCTGAGGTTCACCTATGACCCTGAGAACCCTAAAGGAGAACCTGAAAATAATTTCCAAAAAGCAAGTGTCTAGGCTAGAGTGTGGCATCTGAGACAATGATATCTGGACAAATGAAAACGCCTGCTGTGACTAGAAGATGTACCTGTAAGTCAACCTCTCACCAGAGTGTCTGGCTGAACTCAAGGGAGGGAATCAATTGAAATCCAAGATGTACCTCAGAAAGGGAAATAGTATCCCACCACCTCTATGATGCTCTCTCAGGGCATTAGAGGCTTCACAAGTTTAGAATGAAAATGAGCCAAGACAATGTTTCCTGATGGAAACTCCCAAATCTCTCCCAAGTGCCCTCATGTAGATAGATGATTTACTAAGCCAAAGTCTACCATCAACATCCCACTGCCAATGTCCCAAACCTAGACAAGGAATCAAACAGCCCACATCCACAGGGAGAGGGCAAACAGAAACACACCAACCAACACCTTATCTGGCCCTAACTGTCCTTTCTGGAATGTCATATGAAATAAATTGTTTTCCCACAAATGTGTCACTACTTACTATGTCTATGACCTTACTATATCATTTGTTGCTTTGCCAGTCAATACCTCTTCCTATCTCTCTGTCATCCTTTGAAACTCATTTTAAAGTTAACTCTTTGAAAATACTGGAAGGGCACCTGCTGGTCAGATCCACCAAGTTTGGCAATTTTACCCTAGTTTTAGCAACCATGTTATCAGTCTAGTATGAATCTTCTTAGATGTTTTCTATATATTTACATATATTTCTAACCAAAAATGTATGATTATGCATGTAAGTACCTGATCAAAGTTCACTTCTCTATCTTCGATCTCCTCTAAACTTCCATAACTCTCTAGCTCTTTCAGGTCAATGATCAATTTCCCCTTACCTTTTAAAAATGTATATAATGGATCTCTCCTCGATTTTGAATTCCACTAGCACTGATAATATCTAAGTTGTCATTGTATGTCTTACCAGTTCTAAGATAATAAAAGGCTAAGTATAATATTTTTTAAAAGCAGAGAAATAACTAAATCAAAATTGCTGCTCAGTTTCTAATTCTAAGAGGACATTGTGTTCTCTTAGAACCAGAAACCAGAGGACATACGAAGCAGTAAGAGACTTACAATGAGTAGGTCCCAACAATAACACTTAATTATTGAATTATCTATAGCATTGTTCTTTCCTTCTAGATCCACATGGACTCAAAGACAAATGGCCAGAGTGCAAGAGTGCAAATAAGCATTAATACTGAACCATAAACATTACTACTGAAAAGCCCTGAATGAACCTTCCTATAACATAAATGTGAATATCACATTAATGGATACATATTTCTCATTCTGTGAGCAATCCATATGTACCTGGCTGCAAAAAGTGTGTAAGACATTTATCTCAGTATATTATCACTTCAAAAAGAACAAGAATGAAAATACAAAAGCAAAAAAAAAAAAAAAATTGAGAGAACACATGTTGCTTGTTGTGGTACCCTTGAGGTTTAAACACTGGTAACTGTTCTTAAATTGTCCACTTAAATTTTTATTATTGTTTTCAGTATAACAAAGACCTCTGGGTAACTCAGTAGAAGGTTACAGAATACATTCAAAAAAGCCCATTCTTATTTTTAATCCCTTCTAATAATTAACATTATTTCAATGAGAACACAATGGATGTGATATATTTCAACTTTTCTTTTGTACTTAAATACCATTAATTCTAAACTCATGAAATCTAAAATAGAATTCTCCCGTGTAAACTATTCCCTCTGCTCCTCTTTTATTAAACCATGCAATTTAAATTTCTAACTGGCTTTTCAAGTTATAGGTCATGCCACTGATAGTATTGTTACCAGGAGAGTAGTTTATTAACACCATGGTAAAGACTGATCTCCTCAATCTAGAAAGTTGGCAACAAAATTCGAAACCAGTTCATAAAAGGCTTCTGTATCATACTAAAAAGCTTAGAATGACATGTAGGTCAGAAGGATTTTCACTCCTGCGTTAATTTCTTTATTCACAACTAGCCCCCATTAGTTGGGAATGGTGACTGAGGGGTAGCTGATAGGAAAGACAGAGAAAAACCACTCATGACTTTACGCCCTGCCCAGAGAGCCCTATATCAGTTTACTGACTCAACTGCTTTGAAGCCCATGTATTTGCCTGTCATGAATACTTGTGCCTGACATAAAGCCTGCTCCAGACAGTCTGAAGCATTACTGAATCCTCTCCCATTCCCCAAATGCCCCAAGGCCATCTATTAGGGAAATGGTGCTTTCCTAGAGAATGGCCGGTTCTTCCTGCCCAGCGCATACATTACTGTTCCTGCACTGAGTCCCTCATTATCCACAGCCCAGCTCAAACCAGTCACTGGTTTGCAAAGGCCCTTACCATCTAGCCCCCTGGCTTAGATGTGTATTATTTAACGTTCTGCACATCCACAGCAACTTATCCTGTGCTTGTCATCCATAGAAAGATAGATGTATGTAAAATATTAGTTATATATGGAGTTCCCACATCACTACTGATAATCCTGTTCATCAAACTTAGCAGATCTACTATTTTTTAATCTGGTGCACCCAGCTTCATAGCAGTTGTGATTGCTTCCCTCACTGCTCTTCCTTTTCATTGATCACCCCCACCTCGTACCACATCCAACTTCACCAACACACAGATAGCCAGTGAGTATTTGGGTGACTACGAGCCACCATGAAGGAACTCCAATACAACAGGACTTTTGGCATCACCCTAGAGCACATGTTCCAACTTTTGTAGAAGCTGGAGAACTCCCACATGGAGCCTACTGTAGTCTGAATGTTTATATTCCTCCAAATTCATACGTTGAAAAGCTAATGTCCAAGATGGTGGTATTAGCCCATGGGGTGTTTGGGACTCCTTAATGTCCAACACTTATTTCACCAATTCCCCCACCCACCACCCCTCTAGTATCATCAGTTTGTCCTCTGTGGTTAAGAGTCTATTTCTTGGTTTGCTGCTCTCTCTTTTTCCCCATGATCATTTGTTTTGATATTTATATTCCACATGAGTGAAATCATATATACAATGGAATGTTCCTCAGCCATAGAAAAGAATGAGATCTTGCCATTTGCCACAAAGTGCCTAGAGCTAGAGGGTATTATGCTAAGATAAATACAACAAGCAACAGTATTTTTTTAAATACAATTGTGATTAAAATTTTTCTATGACTTCACGATGCCCTTGGAGAAAAAAAAAAATCATAAGAGGCATGATTTGCCCCTGCCATCCTTTCTAACATCACTATTCACCGTACTTCCACTGATGTAGTATCTATGCACTTAGTTTTTTGTTTTTGTTTTTTTTGAACCAGGATTCCAAAAGAGACAAACAGTAACTGCATAAATAGGGAGGGGACAGAATGAATCCGTTCAACTCTTCTCAGCAAGTCGCAAAAACAACTTGATTCCAAGGTCAATAATCAGTTATGGTTCAATTCAGCAGCATGTAGGACCAGTGTCTTTATTTAATCTCTAAATTTTTCCCACAAAGATGTGTTGAGGATAATCTGTAATATCGTGCTGTGTTACACAAGGGGACAGATAAAGAGGCTGCCCTCAGGTAAAACAGGCAAAAGAGAGGCAAAGGTCCAACTCTGGAGTATTCTGAAGGGTGGAGGAAGAAGACAGCAAGAGTACAGGTATG